CCCCTGCACTACACAGTCATCATGCACCCCTGGCTTTGTGTGGTGCTGGTTCTGGTGTCCTGGATCGTGAGTGTCTTGTATTCCTTGTTACAGAGCTTAATGTTGTTACGGCTGTCCTTCCGTACACATACCCAAATCCCCCACTTTTTCTGTGAATTTAATCAGGTGATCCACCTTGCCTGTTCTGACACCTTTATTAATGATATTTTCATGTATTTGGGAGCCATATTCCTGGCTGGTGGTCCCTTCACTGGGATCGTTTACTCTTACTGTAAGATAGTTTCCTCCATACGTAAAATCTCATCAGCTCAGGGGAAATACAAAGCGTTTTCCACCTGTGCCTCTCACCTCTCCGTTGTCTTCTTATTTTATTGTACAGTCTTAGGTGTATACCTTAGTTCTGCTGCGACCCACAGCCCACACTCAAGTGCAGCAGCCTCGGTGATGTACAATGTGGTCACCCCCATGCTGAACCCCTTCATCTACAGTCTGAGGAATAAAGACATAAAGAGGGCTCTGAGAAGACTCACTGGGAGGGAAATTGTTGTAGAATGAAGTGTCCTAGGACTGAAGAAGTGTCCTTCCTAGCAGAGTTCACAGCGTCAGAATCAGAAATGCTGACAATCTGATCATACTACAGAAGTGGAACTTGTTCCTTCTAATCATCTCCAGTAACTTACATGACTCGGATTTCAACTTCTTTATACAGTTTAAGAAAACTGCATTAGTAAATTTTGTGCTCTGTGAACAAAATTTTCCCTTTGTTCATTTTTGTTTTTACACGTTTATCCTACTCATAAATCATAAAGATTTGGAAACCTTCACAGAATTTATGGAACAACATGAATTTCTGAGGAATACTTTCTTCTCAAATGACATACACCTGTTAATTTTCCTTTTTGCTATTAAAATAATCTTCTGTTGTACTTCCATGATGACAAAATAAACACACTTGTCAATAGGGTCAATTATATGAGTGTATAATACATGAAACTCTGACCCCAGAATCTTCCAGATATGTGTCCTTCATTCCTTTATATCTCTACCTTAATTGTTCCAAACATAGAGTTTAACACATTGATTTGCTTTATAATTTGTCATCTGCATTTTTACTATTCTCTTTCATCGAGAGCTCTGTGTCCTATGTAGCCACTGGCAAAAATAAAATATTTTCTATCTATAGACACCCTCCTTTACATACCCAGGTATTTCTTCTTTTCCACCTTGTTTTTCTAGACATTTCTTTCACCTCCACCACCATTCCAAAGATGTTGGATATCCAGCCACAGGGCAAAGCCATAGCTTAAGGAGGCAGCATCACCCAGATGTCCCTTCCCATACTCTTTGCAGGGGTAGACAAATTTCTTCTCACTGTGGTAGCCTAGAACCAGTATGTGGACATCTGTCACCCCCTGTGAGCTACTGTCATGATGAGCTCCCACTTCCAAACACTACTACTTCAGTGGCCATGGATTATGAGTGTCCTTACTTTGTTGTTACATAATTTAATTGTTCTGTGGCTGTTCTTCTGTACACACCAAAAAAGCTCCCATTAAGGCCAGCAGGTTGCATAGTGGTTAAAGCACTGGATTCCCACTTGGCCAACTATGGTTTAAGTCTTAAATCTGGTGGCTAGAAACTCATCCCGGGTGCATGTGCAAGCAGGTCCAAAAATCCCAGGAGGACAATGGAGTAGAAAGGATTGTAGGATGGCTATAATCCTTGGTGGGCGATTTCTCATTTCCCCCCTCAACCATCTCTGTCTTTCTCCACTCTGGCAAGTACACATGCCCTACAGGGGAAAAAAAAAAAAAAACAACTTCACAAAAGAAGATCCCCTATTTTTTCTGTGAATTTATACAGATAGTCCACCTTACCTATTTGTCATTTCTTTCAATAACATGGACATGTATTTTGCATCTGTGTTTTGGAGGCGCAGAACCCTCACTGGGATCCTTTACTCTTCCTGTAGGATAGTTTTCTCCATATGAGCAATCTCAGCAGTCCAGGGGAAGTGAAAAGAATTTTCCACCTGTGCCCCTCACCTCTCAGTTGTCTCCTTATTTTACTGTACAGTCCCTGATGTGTGTCTTAGTGCTGGGCTACCCACATCTCACAGACAATGCAGTAGCCTCTGTAATGAACACTGTAGTCAACCCCATGCTAAACCCCTTCACGGCCAACTGTGTGGTTTGAGTCCTGGAACCAGGGTCTTGAAAATCACACTGGGCTGGACCAGCAAGTAACATGGTGGTTAAGGTGCTGGACTCCCACATGGCAGACCATAGTTCAGTCCTGCCATATGGCGATCTGTTTTCTCACTTTTCCTCTCTCTCTTTCTTTCTTTCTCTCTCTCTCTCTCTCTCTCTCTCTCGAGTGCATGTGTTCTATAGCAAATTTAATAATAATATTAAATCATTAATTTTTAAAACAGTAAAAAAATACACTGGGTACATGGTAATGCATCCACAAAATCCCAAAAGGAGAATGGAGCGAGAAGGGAATGCCATGTTGTCATCCCCACTAGGGAATAATTTCTGTTTTTCTCTCTCTCTCTTGTCTCTCTCTGGTGAGTGTATGCACCCAACAGCAAAAACTAAAACATAAACAATAATAATAATAAAATACAAAACTTTCCAAAAGCAACCACTATATCCATCTAGTTTAAGACTGGAGACTAAAGAAAATAGAAGAGATATTTATAGCTCAATTTATCTGCTCATTTCACACATCTCCCTTTTATTTTTTTTGTTTTGAAGGTGGTTTTTTGTTTGTTTGTTTGTTTTTGTTTTGTTTTGCCATAAGGTGTTTGTACCTGTTGGAGACAGACAGTTAGATGGAAAGTGAGAAATCACCCCTCTCGGTGGAAATGACCAGACAGACCACAGTTCATTCTCCTCCATTCTCCTCCTGATATTTTCATCATTTGCGCACACATGCCTAGTGGGATTTCTTAGCCATCAGGTCTGGGACTTGAACCACCATTGACCACGTGTGAGTCAAGCACCTTAACTACCACACCACCTACTGGCCCTGATTGTTCACTTGCTACTCCAACACAGACTACCTGATCTTCCTTGTGGACACTGCCCTTCTGTGCACTGGAGAAGGCAGTGTCCTTGTCTCCACCCACCAAGTACAGTAGCACCTCTCCTGTGGTCATAACCAGAAGTTTCATTGCCAAGTGTCTCCTGAAGGTACAGACACTCTGCTTGAGAACTAATAGCTTAGGGCATAGGACCAGAAAACCTCTTTATGGAATTCCAAACAAAGTTCATCTCCAATCAATTCCTAACTTTGGGCAGATCACACGACATAACTTATAACTTCTGCAAAGGTAGGATGAGTTCTTAATGATATTGGCCTCATATGTCGGTCATGTGTAAAACCAAATCATACAGGGGCCAGTGCGTGGTGTAATGGTTAAGGCACTGGACTTCCATATGACCGACCATGGTTTGAGTCCCAGATCTGATAGCTTGAAATTCACACCAGGCACAATTACTGGCTTTTATAGCAAAAGGTTTTAAAGCAGACAAACATGGTTCCCTCCCTTGATGAAGAGGAAATAGCTTTTGCTGT